TGAAAAAAAAAAATCCTATTTTATTGATATTCCTTCACTCTGCAAATGTTGATTGGGCACCTACTGCTAAGCATCCATTATATTAAGTATTGGAGAAACACCAGTGAATGAAGGAGGCTTAATTCTTCCCCTCAGAAAACTCAGAGACTCCACCTGTGGAGAGAATGGGGGCTTTGATGGGGAAGACAGGGTGCTTCCCAGCACAAGTAACTTCTAAGCAAAAGCCTGGAAGGAGCAGGGGTTACCCGCATCAGGAGGCAGAAAGGAGTGTGCAAAACTATGGGAATGCTACAGCAAAGTCTGGAAACAACACTTCTAAGACATTCAAGACACTAGACTATTGAGCAGAAGGGGGACTAAAATGAGATCTAATGGTGAACTGAGACCAGAGCCTCTCCAGTGTCTTGTCAACCATGTTAAGGAATTTGTGAACAATCTAAGAACAGTGAGGAACATTGACAGGTTTTCTGTAGCTGGATTACTATGATGAAATTTGCTTTGAGGGATGACCTTTTTGGGTAAGAGCCTGGTTAAGTGGGTGTGGGGGAGATTAAAATGGCAAGTGTGCTGGCCAGATCTTGGAAGGTGGCCCTTGAAACCAAGAGAAACCAGGAGCAGGCAGCGGAGGTGACTCTCCTGACTGTTTGGAAGAAGTTTGCTGTGAGGTGCCCAGGACCGAGCAGGCAGCTACCTATTAAGGTCCAGAGCTCAGAACAGAGACCTGAATTCTAAATAATTTAGGAAAGTTTCTCTGTATTATTTTCAGCACTAAACCAAAAGACAGCAAGAAAGTTTGCATTTTATTCCATTCTAAGCAAACATGTTCAATAGAACTACAAAGCTTCCTTGACTGATGGTCCGTGTACACGTGAGTAAATAAGATTTGGCTCCAGATAGCAATTACTACTGGCACCTATTTCTTTCATCTCATGAGACACAATGTAATTGTAAACATCAATCTAGACACCATAGACTTAGCGGGAAAAAAAAAAAGTTTACTTTTTCCCTGTGGGGAAAAACTTAAGTTATTTTCCCTTTGTCTTTGTTGCGGGTGTGTAAGTGTGTCTTATATGGCTTGCCAAGCCTCTCATCAACCATATTTGTAGGAAACAGACAAGATCCTATCCCTGCTCTTTGTGGTGAAAGTATCCCACACCTGGAAAAGCATGTTAATTTTTTAAGTGTGTAAATTCTTTATAAGCGTGTTATTGTTTAATGAGCTAACACAGACTCTTCTGTAGAAGGTATCTTCATCTGTGCCCTTTACAAGAGTAACACCACAAAACATACAGAGAATAGTTTGGCTTCCCTTATAAATTTCACTAGGCTAAATTAAAACCTCCCTTGCACTGCTCACACACACACTAGTTGGGCATAACTTATCTTGCCTCTGCAGAGGGAATAAGCATGCATTCTGGAGTGTCATTAATGCATCCTGGAGTGGTGAGGAATAACGGTTTTATTATTCTGCAGTGCAGACTGCAGAATACACGACTTTGCTAGAATCTTCTCTCATTCCAGGTCATAATACCAGCCACCGACTGTGTTCTCCATTAAGACTACGAACATGGACAGAACAGTGCCTATTGGAGATCTGATTACAGAAGAAATAGGCTTTTCCTAAAGTACTTGAAGTTGTAATGTAGGTCTCTAAAAAACTAAGGCAAAGGTCTGCAGTGAACTGTTAAGAGAAACCAAGCTCCTAGACAAAAACAAACATGTTCCCAAAGAAAGGGGAGTTAAAATCTTGCTCAGAATTATAGTAATTTCTCAGAACAAGCAATTCTTCTGGATTCTGCGTAGGAATTCTTCAGCTGTTGGCAGTCTTGGTTTATTTATCCTTCGCTTCCTTTTACATGCTTATTAGCTACCCATTAAAATGTTCCAGGAACATCTTGCCATTCATCTTGAGTGATTATAACTCAATTCACTGCTTGAAGGATTTTTAACTCATTTATACTACATGGGATTCTGTCCAAATGGTAACAATTATAAACAATATTTATGTTGTAGAGATTTTTGACAAGGTATTGAAAAACTGAAATAATAATAATGATTACTCTTTTCAGTTCTCATTCAACTACACTGAAAAAATAGAGGTACTAATGTCTAGCCACTTATTTTTATTCATATCCTAAGGAACTAGGCTCTTAACAAGAATTATTTCTTGTAAAAGCTATTGAAGTGTGTTTTAAGCTTATCATATTAATCACTCTGTACATTCACTGCAATGATTACAATTGATTAATAAATCGATTTTCTAGTTGTCATCAGTGAAACATAGGAGGAATCACATAAATCTACCAATTTTCAACAAATTAATTTTAAGGAAATAAGTATCTTTTCTAATGCGTTCTATTGGTTGCTATAGTAAAATTGAGAGGTTTAGAATTAAAACTTTTTTTTCCATTTCCCATCTTTTCTTTCTGCTGGAGGTGACAACATACTAAACAATAGACAATTATGATAATACTATTTGTATCAAGTCACATAAATAATATTTTTATTACTTTGTTACATATGCCAGACCCTCTCACCTCTCTGTCTTCTTCTCTCTCTCCCCCTCTCTGCCACATACACCATACCACACACACACACACACACACACACACACACACACACAATCACACACACCTATAAAGCTCATATGTCAGACACATAGTTCATGTTCTAAGATGGTAACTATTATCATTACTCTTTATGCTGATTGACATAATTTTCAGAGTACTACATAGGACTTACTAAAAATTTTCCTTATATGAACTACCCATTAAACTATAACATAAAAATACTTGACACATTGTTGTTGTTGTTTTTTTAAAGATTTTTATGTATTTATTTGACAGAGAGATCACAAGTAGGCAGTGAGGGAAGCAGAGGGAGAGGGCGAAGCAGGCTCCATGCCAAGCAGAGAGCCTGATGTGGGGCTCAATCCCAGGACCCTGAGATCATGACCTGAGCTGAAAGCAGAGGCTTAACCCACTGAGCTACCCAGGCGCCCTTACTTGACACATTGTTAACAAAATGAGTCTAAACACACATATGTTTTGCTTCAGTTTGTCTCTGATATGTAGCCCATTCAGTGTTTAACAGCCTTAGTCCTTTACATGATTTAATTTGTCCCACTTCAATATATCTGAGAAGGAGGGAAATCAGAAGATAGGAGGCCCTGTTGTGTAGGTCCCCCCCCCACCACCACCCTTCATGGCTCTCTCCCATAACTCAGAAACCTAACTTGTATGATGATATGGTTTGTCAGAAATGTGAAGAGACAGAGATCATGTCGGATGCCGATGATCAAGCCTCCATAATAGTGTTAAAAGCCTTTGAAAAAACACGGATGTGCCTGGTTTGGCCATCTGGTCAAAATAAGCATTTTCAGAGCTCTGTCTTCACCTTTGCCCCCTGCTTAGGTGTGAGAAATGTAAGGAATTTATTGGCTTGTATTTGAGGTCTGCCTTGACTAAGGTTAATCAACTAACACCTTCATCTGTACACCCACACACTCACTTGCCCTAACACCGTCCAAGTTGAAAGGATGAGAAGGAGGTTAGAGTATGCCCTGGGCAGATTTATCACCCCGTGAACCGAAATATGCAAACAAAATGTCCAGGGTTGGTTTTATATTGTTCAAGAGTTCAGGGAAATTGCATGCTTTTTATTATGCCCCGCCCCCCCGCATATGGAAGAACAAAGAAAACCTAATTTTCTAGTTTTAATAGAGGTAATTTATTTGGGTCAGAAAAATAAAGAATTTATGCTCCATTTAAACAGTGCATCAAATGGATTGCCTTTGATTGTAAGCTGTGACTGTAGGGTTTTGCTTGATTTTTGCGTGTTTAGTAATTCAGTTAAATCCTCTGAAACATAATGGTCATCTCTTTAAGGGTCTTGTGTTTTACAAACATTGATAAACTATATGATTCTTTGAGACTCAGTCCTTTTGAGTCTTGTGAAACCAGATGGAGATAACTAAAATGTCTCAAGTTAAAGGGCTCTTATTCTGTGTCTACACTAAAATTAATTTATCTTTGTCAAGGTTTGGTTATAAAATAAACTTTCAGTGGGTGAAAATATACCCTCTCTATTATTTCTACACTTTCTTATGGGCTATGAATATTTCAAAGTAAGTTATTTTATAAGTCAGCTCATGAATCATCTCTCAGTGTCCATTGTTACTCAGCTAATTGCTACCGCTGTGACTTTTGGTAGCTGTCTCACACAGTAAGCTGTCAAACTGTCGGTCACAGGAGGAATCAGACAGAGTGATGATGATTGGATCAATTCATCACCAATACCAGAGAAAAACATAGTCTCCAAAGCATGTGTCCTACCTTCATGACCTAAGTCACATTGTTTTCATATATGTTTAAGACAAATCCCTTGGTAGGAGCTTATTTCTCTAGTGGATCCTCAGGTGGTATAAGGCACCCCCAAATCTCTGTAGGTAACCTACAATCGTGTCCGGGTCTCCCTAAAGCCTTCAGGTCTGGTAATCATATATATTTAGTCTAGTTGTACCAATAGATGGTAACTCTGCAGTGGTTATTATAGACTCAGATACACTGGATTAAGGCCAAATGTAATGGACCAGAAGATGTTGTCTTGCAAATAGTCTCCAGGTGACGATACAATGAGCAGTCAGACCAAACTTACCACATTTCAGCCTGCATGTTTTGTTTCTTTTGGGGTGTTATTTTACTTGCTAAACTGAACAGGAAGTACATTTAGAGCCACTTATAATCCCACAGATGGGGAACAAAGTAAACTCAAGCCTCAAGATGAGAATGTTCCACAAAGCACTTTTTGTTTTTCAGCAGAGATCTTTTGACCTGAAAACTATATAAATCTACAGATTAAAGGGGTGTTACCTAATTGAAAGGAGAAAATATGATAGAAAAGAGTCAGTAAAATGAAGCTAACTCTTCTCTGAAATTCCATCAGTCAGGCTTGAGATGGAAAAAAAAATCACCCACCAAGGCACCGTTTCTTCTTCTCAGAACCTGTCTTCTACTTTGGCGACGTCGAGTACCCTGTGGACGAGAGCGCCGGCTACGTGGAGGTGCGGGTGTGGAGAACAGGCACGGACCTATCCAGGTCTTCCAGTGTCACCGTGAGATCCCGGAAAACGGATCCTCCCTCTGCTGACGGTGAGCGGTTTCCTACAGCAGATCTTTTGATTGTTCCCCTGGGTTCAACTCAACTTGACACAAAATACTTTAAAGCTAAACTACTTCACGCCTCTGAAAGCAGTCTGGATGAATGGAGCTTTTTCTGAAATTATTATTATATCGTAGGTAAGTCTAGGCTCTGTGTGTTACTGTGAGAAAATACATTGAAAAGCCACAAATCGGAGGCTATATTGCAAACATGTAAGTCAATAACCCTAAATCCTAATGCCTGTATTTACATGAATTTGGTTCTCTCCACTTGGCAAACCTAACATCATTGAATATTGTGGCATCGGTATGCACAAGAATGGTCATGCTGGCCACCCTCACAGAAATCTAATGATGTGTAAGTGTTGTGCAGATGTGCATCTCCAATTTAGTTCCCTCCTCATTTTAACTAGATGCCCCCCAAAATAGTTCAGATCTGAAGGCTTTTCCACACACTTCATTATATAAGCTATGCTAGCCAGGATGCACTTGCCTTTTATTCTGGAATTTACATCTCCAAAGAGTTGATCATAAAGTTTAGGATAAGCATGGGATTAGAAACTTCCTTTTTTTATCCCTTCTGAATTGCCAACACTGCACACTTTCTTATGTGCACACACTTTCTTATGTGCACACACGTGCACACATACATACATGACACACATGGCACATATTTATCACATGAGGCAAGCAGGGGCCATACCATGTAGTGGAACCAGCATGATGCTTTGCATGTAGTTAATGTCCAATAAGCATTTGATTCACCGAATTAGTTATTCTTAAGAAAAAATTCAAAGAGAGAGGTGAGAATAAAGATGAAGCAGCAGAAAAGATAAATATAAGAAGAACCACAAAGAGATTCAGAGATTTAAAACAGTGAATTAAGGGCAGATACACTCATAGATGTGTATTCAGAAGTAAAGAGAATATATATAAAATGAGAGTTAGAAGAACAGAAGTTACGAAAACAAAGAAGCAATAATATTAAACCCTTGTCACCCACTCCCAGTCTTTATAAATGTGGTGCCTAAAGATTGACTGACAGTTTTGTTTGTAACTACTTTAGACATAAATGGAGGTGTCAACACTAGGTTTACACACCATGGTCTGAAAAAATAAGCCAAAAATAAAATATATCTTTGAGAATAAAGGATTGTTCTCCTTGCCTGGGGTGAATGTGGGCGGATCATGCGGGACAAAAGTTTATACCTGAAATGTGTTTCTTTAGCCAACAGGCAAAAACACATCTAAGTAGGATATTCTCTTGTAGCTTTGGAAAATAAATACAGATATTTAACTGATGTTAACAATATTTAAATGTATATATTTCATAGGTCATTTATGATAATCACATATATGATTGGTGTGCTGATTATTTCAAACTTGATTTTTTTTAACATCCTAATTTTATTTTATTTTTTTCAGTGTTCCAAGATTCATTGTGCACCACACCCAGTGCTCCATGCAATATGTGCCCTCCTTAATAACCACCACCAGGCTCACCCATCCCCCTTCCCGTCTCCCCTCCAAAACCTGCAGTTTGTTTCTCAGAGTCCACAGTCTCTCATGGCTCGTCAGACCTGATTTTTATTACCTCCATTCAAGAATTCCAAAATAAAGATAGAGAGATTATATAACTAAAGCTAAAATAACTCACTAGACATATATAAAATAAATTTCAGAACCTGACCTTTGTTCTACAATCTCAAAAACCAATATGATACTAATCCTTTGCATTTCATTAAATGTATTTACTGTAATGTTATACTGGTCTCTGTATTTTTTTAAAAAGAATACTAAATCTACATAATTTGCTTCTCATAATTTTGTTTAGTTTAGTCAGTCCCCGACTGAATAATTGTTTTGTTACCTGTATAGCTGGAACAGACTACGTGGGAATCAGTCGGAATTTAGATTTCACACCTGGAGTCAACATGCAGACCGTTCGTGTTATCATCCTGGATGACCTTGGGCAGCCGGTGCTGGAGGGAATTGAGAAATTTGAACTGGTGCTTCGTATGCCTATGAATGCTGCCCTCGGCGAGCCCAGCAAAGCCACGGTGTCCATAAATGATTCTGTCTCAGATTGTGAGTGTTTATTAATTTACAATGATAAGTAAATTTATAGGCTAGAGTTTATATACAGATTGAGTGAAATGATGAACTGGATTTTATATACATGTATAAGTTTTCTAGGGCTGCCATAACAAAGTGCTACAGACTCAGAAATTTCTCATCTCGCAGTGCCAGAGGCTAGAAGTCCAAAATCAAGGTGTCGGCAGGGTTGGTTTCCTCTGAGGGCTGTGTGGGAAGGATCTGTTCCATGCCTGTCTTTGGCTTGTAGATATCCATCTTGTCCCTTTGTGTCATTATATCTTCTCTGTGTTTCACGGTGTCTGAATTTCCCCTGTGTATAAAGACAGCAGTTCTATTAAGTTAGGGCTCAGTCTAATGACCTCATTTTTACTTGATTACCTCAATAAAGACAATAGCCTCAAATAAGGTCACATTTTCAGGTTGTGGGGGTTAGGACTTTAACCAATAAACTTGGAGGGGAAGCAATTCAACCCATAATGATACCCTGTCTGACCATGTCTTCATTTCTCCTTCTGACCATTTTGATAAAATTAGGGAGTCCTTTCAAATTAAAAAAGTGAGATTTCCAGCAATATCCTGATTAAGTCTCAAGAGTTCCCTCACCATACATAGGTGGAACCATGTGTAATGGTCTTTTTCCACTTCTCAGTGCAAGACTTTCTATCATCACCTACACCCAGACACTCCTGAAATTTCCCTAATAAGGTGCCAAAATCATAGTTCTAAGACAAGCAGCTGCTGGACAAGCGGTAGGGCTCTCTGACACATCCTCAGAAGGGATTCTGAATAATTTTCAACCACGATGATCTTGACATTGCTTAGGAGAGTGTAACCTGTTGTTAATGAGACCTATATTTAATTCACCCCTCATCAGTATCACTTAAATATATACATAATATTCATTATCAAAAATGTTTTTATATATATTTACATTATAGATAGAAAATACTATATTCATTATCAATGTTTCTAACATGGTCTGCGTAAACTACGCTTCTAATTGTGTCACAATATTGAGTGTTATTTGAAAATAATTCAGAAATTATTCAGAAATTTCAAAAATTCTGAGAAGCTCATGATTAAGCAACACATATAGATACAGACATCTCAAAGTCTCTGGTTTTATCTACTTTTTAGCATTTCCCTGCATCTGCTACTCCATGAAATAGAGCCAAATTTCAAAGATAAGAAAATCAAAACAATTTATTTAAGTGATTTGCTTAAGGCCAACACATTGTCAAGTGACTAGGTAGAAACTGGAATCCCAATTCTCACTTCTATTTCATTACTCTCTCCACTAAATCTTGCTTTCTGAAATGCCATTTTCCTTAAGGAAATTTCCGGTCACCTTGATCCATATGTTTGTTTGCTTTGCAGTGCCTAAGATGCAGTTCAAAGAACGAGTATACACTGGCAACGAAAATGACGGGCAGATTGTTGCAGTGGTCCACAGGAGTGGAGACCTTCACTACGGGTCTTCTGTGAGATGCTACACACGGCAGGGCTCTGCGCAGGTGATGACGGACTTTGAGGAACGTCCAAACACGGATAGCTCCATCATCACGTTTCTTCCTGGTAAGGTGGAGCTTGACATTTTTATTTGGAATTTGAGGAAACCATATTGCTGATGAGAAATACATATCGGGAAAATATACCTTCTTGACCTCAACAGGCTTATGAGGTGGTTTTGTGTGCACTGTGTGATAATGAGGTGAAATAGATCGAATCAACATCTTTTTGGTGTCCGTAATTTATGAATTGATTTGTAGGGATGTGCGGTATTGTTTATTCAGAGCGTATGTGGTGGTATAGCGAATGTGTAGATTTCGCAATACTGGGATACTGTGTTCAAGTGAGAGAAATGAAAGGAAATAGAGATGACACTTTTAATATGAATTCAGAGCCTTAAAGTGTTCGATCACTGTGATCCAGTAATTGTACTGGAAACTAGTCCTGTGATCATGTTAACTCTGATCATCCTGTACAAGGTGAGTAAATTTGCTTCCTAATCATAATGCTAGAAATTCATACATAAAATTGGTACTTTCTCTTTATCACTTATTTTCTAAGATGGCTGACAGAACTTAAAAACAGACTGGAGAAATTTCCCATACAGATAGGGGCTTTCACTACATATGTTCAAACATTTAGTCATTCATTCAGCAAGTATTTATTGGGGGCTTATTACACACACATTCTTTGTACTCTTGGTGCAGCAGGGGAAAAAGCAATATCCTCGCCCTCTGCTGCTTATGTTCTAGTAGCACACGAATCCTTTGGGGCCTGGGATGTGATTGGGATGTCATGACGCAATGTAACTGACATGCTGTCATTATCATTGGTCCAGGTGAGACTGAAAAGCCTTGTGTCCTTGAGCTGATGGATGACAAACTCTATGAGGAGGTCGAGGAGCTCCGCCTGGTTCTTGGCACCCCACAAAGCAACTCCCCCTTTGGGGCTGCAGTTGGGGAGCAAAATGAAACTTTGATAAGGATCCAAGATGACACCGATAGTAAGAAGTTATTTCTCATCCTCACCTGTAAATTGGGAATTGAAACCCATCTATGTTAATATTTTAGGTGGCTCAGAAAATAAACCCCTCAGTCTTTCAAGGGTTTTAAAGCAATTGAGAAATAGGAAAAAAGACTAAGACAAATGGGGAACCAAATAGACCATAAAAATTAGAAGCTGATGTTGGAAAATATGCCTTACATCTAATGCTAAATCGCATATGTTCATACCCTCTGTAGGGTGGTGGTAGCCCCGGGCCAGCAGTTTCTCCCTCCCTTCCCACTCTCAGGGACCCACTCCTGTAAGACTGATGGCACATAGAGGTCACCTGGAGTACATGTCTTTTATTTTTATGTAAAGCATTTCCTTTACATTTTAGTTTGTTCATGTTTCCCACAATTTTAGAAACTGTGATTAAATTTGGAGAAACCAAATTTAGCGTCAGTGAACCCAAAGAACTGGGACAGTCAGTGGTTGTAAAAATTCCAGTGATTCGCCAAGGAGATACTTCAAAGGTTTCCATTGTGAGAGTCCACACCAAGGATGGCTCCGCTACCTCTGGAGAAGATTATCACCCTGTGTCAGAAGGTATGGGGGTTCTGAGGGTCTGTCCCTAGGTGGGTGGTGCTCACACTCTATACTGGCTCTGGTGCCCATGAGAAGAAGAAGAGAAATCTCCAACTGAAATAAAAATAGACATACTCCTTTACATTAATCTCCATCAGAAAAATAATGGCAGTAGAATTTAGTTCCAGAATTTTCCTTTTTGACTTACAGGGTTTATGCTTTTGAGGACTTAGAGAAATTTTGAATAGACTAGATGACCTTTTGTTCTGAGTCTACTTTTACTAAGAGGCTTTACCTTCATTATGGCAAGCCGCTACTAAATTATACCTATTCTAGAATATTCTAGTACACTGAAAATATGCATGGTAGCTGAGATAGTTTTTAGTTTACAGAACATCAATGATCTAAAACTTCAAGGTAGAAAATTTTATGTTAATGGAGAGCAGTAAGAGTCTGGTGGAATGCTACCCAAAAAGACCATGGATTATCTGGGCCTTAGGATTTCATTATGGGTGCTTTTCATCCATCCCCCTCCTTCTTCAAATTTTTCGACTATTTCGCCATTTATTTTTATGAGTAATTAGTACAAATCAAAGTTTCTCTCTCTATATATATGGATTATCTGCTGACAGAATAGATGCAAACTGATGTACAAAGTTAAGTTTATAAATTGTGTAGAGTTCTATTTATCCACTTTGTTTCTAGTTTCATACTTCTTACTACCAACAATCTTTAGTTCTTGATTGTAAAGCTCCAGACATTCATCTTGATCTTGTAACTTGTGAAAAAAAAAATTTAGAAAAGTTTTACTAAGTCCGTAATAAAGTTGATGAGACAAGAAGACAAAACCATCCTCTGCAAAGGAGCTTGTTTTCTTTGCATCTATGGTAAAAAGTTTGACTACTGTAGAGTTTCAAAGTTATCCTCAGAATATTCTCTGTACAGAGAATGATAATATATTTGAACGAAATCACATACAACCCAAAAGAGGAGAAACACTGATTAGGCACTAAATTAGAAAAATCTAAAATCAGTCTTTCTATAATGAGCAAGAGCAAGCTTTACATGAAAGAAACATCTTCTAAAGATGGGCAATATGACCTTTAACAGAAAATGTTTTTCTTAGAAACAAAATAATTCTTTTTGCTGAAGGATAAATAAAAATTATACCTCTGTGGTAAACTGACCAATGAAGTCAGAAAAAGGTTAAATGGCAGGAAATCAGCTTGTGTCTCTTTTATCCCATAAATGTAAACATGCTATTTATAATGCTTATGATAAAAATTTAATCTCTCCTGACCCATATTCTAATTTCTCCCTTATGGTGAAAATTGAGGTCAGTCTCTTAAAAATAAACAGAAATAATAAAGATAGAAGAAAACTTGAAATATTTTTGTGCTAAAAGTATCTAAAATGACAGATAAAGACTAAAGTAATTGAGGAGACTGAACTATTTTATCATCTAATCTGCACACTGTAAGAAAACAACAATTTAAATATTTAAGGGATGCTTGGGTGGCTCAGTCTATTGAGCATAAGCGTCTGACTCTTGGTTTCAGCTCAGGTCACCATCTCAGGATCCTGGATCAAGCCCTGCATTGGGCTCCTTGCTCAGTGGGGTGTTTGCTTGTCGCCCTACACCACCCCCACTCATGCTCTAGCTCTCCCTCCCTCTCTCACATAAATAAATTAATTAAATTTTTAGTAAATAAATAGATAAATATTTAAAATAAATACTTAAGCTTTTAACCTCTTAGAAATTGGGTTTCTATAATTCTGGGGGTTACAAAATTTGAATGCTTACAGGGTAAGACAAGCAATGAATGAAGGAAATATGAAGGGGAAATGACAAGATAGGAATATTATTGAACCAGAAAATCCATTCCCTGCTGAGAAAAGCCTATATTGTCCTAGCCAGCCAACATTGGCCAGGCAGGAAAATACAAAAAATAACTTTAAGTATTTTCCTATGAAATCCTCAGATATTTTTGGTTTTAGAAACGAATGTTCTCTTTTATTTATTTATTTATTTTTTTTTAAGAAAGGGAGAGAGTGCAAATGGGGAGGAGACGCAGAGGGAGAAAGAGATTCATAAGCAGGCTTCACACCCAGCATGGAGTCTGACATGGGGCTCAGTGTCAGAACCCTGAGATCATGACCTGATCCAAAATCAAGAGTCAGATGCTTAACCGACTGAGTCACCCAGGCACCCCTAGAAACTAATTTTCTAATGAAATGTCACACAAGTCATACCAAACAAATTGGTGGGCCAGAAATGAACAGATGTTTTCATCCTCTGATATAAGAACCCGAAATCCTCTCAGGGTATGAAAAATCTAAGACTAATAAACTCTAAGAACATGCAAGGCTAATGTGGAAAGTGGCTATATCTAGAAACAGAACTCATTTTAAAGAGGAATCTGGCTCACTCAATTTTAAAGAAAAAAATATTTTTCATAATTGACAATAAAAAATAGAAGTAGCAGAAGAAAAACACATTGGAGACACATTTTCTTCTGCCACATTTTAAAGGATTTATAATTTAGAATTATAATGATTGAACTTCAGTTACACCAAAACCAGCATCTGCTATCTTCTCTAATTAGAACAATTATGCATTATATTTTTTAATTTCTCTTCTGAGCCAGTTTTTCAAGAGGTATAGTAAAACTAACAAAAGAGTTTTTCCAAGTCTCATGGTATGGGCAGCTGCTGACTCTTGAGTTCAATAAAATCAATTAATCTTTAATGTTTTAAGACTTTTGAAATGACTCGTTTAAAAAAGGGACTCTCATAATTGAGTTTAACTTTCATGACAATGAAGCAAACTTTTTTAGAGAGGAGGGACAGGATTAAGGGGAGCATACCATTCACATTTGCCCAAAAAAACTTTTAAATTTCCAAAATTAACATCAACAATAGAGGAAGTCTTTTTAAAATATAATTTGATATAATATTAAAAAGCTCAACAATTGTATATCCACCTTCAATTATCCATATATATATATATATACACACACACACACACACACACACACACACACATATATAATGCAAATGCAATTCACACTCCATAATACCTCCAATTGTAGTCACCTGATTTGTGTCCTCCAGGTTCAGAAATTTTGGAAACGAGAGGCTGGTTTAATCTGGTTATGCCTCAGTATTAGAACTGTTGATCTGTTCCACAACTCAGTGTTTTTTCAAACTGTTGGTCAACAAATCAATTTAGCAGCTTCTGCTTAGAATTTTCTTCAGATGAAATGGAACAGAAAATATTCAGATACAAAGCATACAGTAAAAATAAGTGATGTTTTTCAAACTGGTGATTCTATTTTATTCACGCACGCACGCACGCACACATAAATATACTGGGCCACAGTGTACAATGTTTTCCTCATTGTGAGTCACTGTCAAGAAAGCTTGACAAAAATTTCACATATTCCTATGAGAAAGACTTAAATCTGTGATTTTTGCATTTGTAGAAATTGAGTTTAAGGAGGGAGAAACCCAGCATATTGTTGACATTGAAGTAATCTTCGATGGGATCAGAGAGATGAGAGAGGCCTTCACTGTTCACCTAAAACCCGATGAGAACATGGTAGCAGAGACGCAGGTAAGTACTGCGATGGATACAAGTTCAGGGCGAGCTGGGGCATCTGGGTGGTTTAAGTGTCTGCCTTAGCTCATGTCATGATCCCAGGGTCCTGGGATCGAGCCTCACCTCAGGCTCTCTACTCAGCGGGGAGTCTGCTTCTCCCTCTCACTTTCCCTCTGTGCTCTCCTCCCCTCTCTCAAATAAATAATAAAATCTTTAAAAAAGAAATCAGGACCAGCATTTGAATTGGGGGAAATGCGTATAAGCATCACATAGCGTACAATAGGCTACTGGGATTTTGTGCAAGCCTTTATAAAGGAGATGTGCATAATCTTTTTTCACCTCATAAATAAATTTTGTGCGTATTACTCTTTCTTTGAAAGATCATGTGTGTAGAACTAAGGGACTAGAGTCACTGAGCCCCACGTCAGCCCACTTAGTTTTCTCATTTCAGTCGGCAACCTCTGATTTGAGATTCATTTCCAGAGAGTAAGCATCATCTCGACACAAAGATGAGACGATGAATTCAGGGCTACTGCTCATTAAGACAAACATTTTAATCCACGACGTGGTTTGCTAACTTCAGTATTACCACCGCTCGTCCTAGCTTTATCAGCTTGATGTCCAGAGCCTCAGTGACCATGCTATGGTCCTAACACTGATATTCTTTTTTTTTTTTTTTTTTTTTTAAAGATTTATTTATTTATTTGACAGACAGATTACAACCAGACAGAGAGGCAGGCAGAGAGAGAGAGAGAGAGGGAAGCAGGCTCCCCGCCGAGCAGAGAGCCCGATGCGGGACTCGATCCCAGGAACCTGAGATCACGACCTGAGCCGAAGGCAGCGGCTCAACCCACTGAGCCACCCAGGCGCCCCCCTAACACTGATATTCTGTCCTCAGTAAATTGATATTGTGTCATCAACCAGATTTTCTTCAAGGTAAACATGTTCCACAGAATTTTGACCTTTAAACCTTAAATAATTTGTAAAACTAAATAATTTTAGGCACAGACCAATGTTTATGATATCTGTACTTAAATTTACTCTAGCTCTTTTATTATTTGTTTTACTATTAGTATGAGATTGAATTAGGGAGATTTTTATCCCTTAAATATTTCTTATCATTTTTTAATCTTTACTAGTATTTCTGCTGTAGTGCCTTACTTTTTTTAAGTCATATTTATAATTCAAAACACATACATTTTTTATAAGTCTTGATCACATTAAAAGTAATTCTTTTAGTGTTATTTTTATGGAGCACTGTATTAAACTCTTTGGGGTGAAAGGAATAGAGATTCATTCAAATTCACTTCAAGTGATAACAACTTTTTTGTAAATGCAAGTAAATAAAGATTTGGAAACTGTGATATATGAGATATTGGAAGGTTATTCAGGAGCTAAGACAAATTTATCAGCAAGGTGTCTTGGTACCTTACCAATAGATGTTCCTAGAATCCTCTCCTCTCTGTGACTCAGTGTCTCATTCTGCCCCGGTTTAGGCTGTGCTTCTGGTCTCTGCTCATTTTTTAAAAATTTTATTTAAATTCAATTTAGTTAACATACAGTGAGTGCATTATTAGTTTCACATGTAGAATTCAGTGATTCATCAGTTGCATACAACACCCAGTGCTCATTCCATCAAGTGCCCTCCTTAATGGTCTCTGCTCATTGAAAGCCTTGATTTTCACTGGCATCCACGTCAGCATGGCTATGCTATCACGTGATCCCCAGGATTTGCTTTCTCCCAGCCTGTCATTCAGCATTCCTCTCCCGAGAAACTAACTGGCTTTTTCATGGATCTTCCATGCCATAACCCAAGACAGATTCATCCACTATCATCACAATTTAGAGAAAAAAATAGAACCCAAATACCTCGTGTGCTGCCCTGGGGTCGTGTACCCTCCCCTAGTGCCATAAGACATGGCCAGGGTGTCAGGGTCACCTAGACAAACCACAAAAAGCCTGTCACCCTGCTGGGGCTCTGTGTGTGACAGTTTTCATCATAATGAGGCCAGGAGCTTGTCAAGCATCATGGGTATCGTGCTGTGCAGTAGAAACTCCTAGAGCCTAATATTTCGATAATCACAGATAATTATCTTTTCCTTGTAGGTGACCAAAGCAATTGTGTATATAGAAGAAATGAACAGCATGGCAGATGTCACTTTTCCTTCCGTCCCTCAGATTGTGTCATTACTGATATATGATGACACTTCCAGAGCTAAAGATAGTGCTGGACCCGTGTCTGGCTATCCTGTCATCTGTATCACAGTGAGTAGGAAATTGACAAAATCAAGAAAAATTGTAAAATAGCTAGTTAAAATAATTATCGATGTTAACCGATAGAGCATTGGCTTTGCCAAGAAGAAATGAAAGTGGAAATACTACAAGGTATAAGGTTTGAACTTTAGATAGAAAAATACTACATTAATCAAATAAAGCTCCCATTTTCCTTTCTTATCCAAAAGAGATAATTAACTGATGTGTAACAGTGTGTTATCTCATGTTATCTCAGGATCTGCCATTGATAGAAAAATAAATAAGGGTTGAACTCTGCACTCAAGGAACTTAAAAATAAAAAAGAGAAAAATATATAGGAATCAGTCACTGTACCAGAGGGCAAGCTGTGATCATTACCATGAGCAGGTCACCAGCCAACTAGAGTTGCAGTTCCGTGGGTGAGGCGAGGCTTGGGTCACTCCTTATGAGGAATTTCAACAGTTTAAGAGTCAGACAAGTGGAGGCCAGTCCAGGAAGAAAGGATTACAACACAAGGGACATCTAGAGGAATAGCACTGAAAAATGGCATATTGGTTATTACTTTTTTCCTTGCCTTTTCTTGACTGAGATGTACTTATTTTTCTCTAACAATAGCCCTGGTAGCCTGACCTACATCTAACAGGCACCCAGTAAATGTTCATTGAATTAACAAAGCAGAGTAATAATTTGGTGCCAAGTTATAGAGGTTTCTACATGTGATATTAAGGACCATGGGCTTCATTGGTGGGAAAGCAGAGGGTTCTTGGGCAGAAGAACGGCGTGGGAAGAGGAGTGTCACTCGTGGCATTGTGACTAGACTAGGAAGTCATGAGATGAGAGGTGCTGCTAGAAGTGGGAAGGAAGGCAGCCACATAAACACTGCAAAAGAAGAATCAGCCAAAGTCACTGACCCACTGGAAGTGGGAGGCAAGGTGAGAGAGAAGAGGGAGGGCGGGAGGGAGAAAAACAGGAATGATTTGGGGTCTCAGAGATTCATGAGATGATGCAGAGAATAAGTTTATGTGTATCAAGTTAAAGTGGAATTGTCCAGGAGGCTGTTTGAAGCCAGAGTGCATGCGGTTAGGGCTAGAACAGAAATGTGAAGGTTGCATGAACGGCATGTAGCAATGGGAAAAAGCACCAGGGAAAGCACGAGGCTAGAGCGCTGGGGAGACCTAACTTCCACACTATTCTGTTCTGTGGTCCCGACAGTTATTTGTTTCCCATAGGCCTGCAACCCTAAATACTCAGACTATGACAAAACGGGCTCTATTTGTGCAAGTGAGAACATCAACGACACCTTGACCCGCTATCGATGGCTAACCAGTGCACCCACTGGCCCTGATGGCGTCACTAGCCCCATGAGAGAAGTGGACTTTGACACCTTTTTTACGTCATCCAAGATGATCACCTTAGACTCCATATACTTCCAGCCTGGCTCCAGGGTGCAGTGCGCAGCCCGTGCTGTGAATGCCAATGGCAATGAGGGCCTGGAGCTGATGAGCGCTATTGTCACCGTTGGCAAAGAAGAAGGTAGTGCGCTGCCACTTTCTCATGAAGACTACCAAAATACCAGGGAGTACTATCAGTACCTGATCTTCGGTTACTAGCTCTTCCAAATGCACTCTTGAATATTCATCAAACACTTACAAGTTGACATCCATTTTTACAAAAATATTCTTTAAAAAAAATAAATATTTATTCATTCCACTTTTTTTTTTTTTTGACCACCTGTTGTATGTCAGACTTGAGGCTTTCTGCTGGCACTCAGAAAAAGGAAGCAAGACTCTTGTTCTCAGGGAGTTCACACTCAAGCTGAGAACACAGATAAATTTTAGTCTGGACAAGGCACAGTGGAAGTGACTAGTTCTACGCTGAGAGAGTCAGGAAACAGGAATCTTGAAAAGAGCAGGAAAAAAAAAACATGAGCAGTGAATCATAGAAGCATGAAAATACATGAAATATTCTGGGAACTATAAGCAGAGAAATGGGGAAGCAGGTGAAAGAGAGAGTGGAGAGGAGATGAAGCAGGATGGTATGCAAAGGTCAGATCTGGACAACATGGCTCCTGTGTGATGAGCTGGTTGTTGCCCCAGCAGGAATTTGCTGGGGACGGGGAGAGAGGAATGACCATCATGGGGAGAGGTATCTACAAGTGCCCACAGCTTGTGATTATAAGAGAGGTTGTGTCCAGGGCTGGAGCCCAGATACACCAGGCGTGAGAATAGACTGTAGCTGGAGCAACACTGAGAAGACAAGAAATCAACTTTATAAACTAGTCCTTCACTCTGCAGAAGAACTTTCAAGTTAGATTTTTAAAATAAGAGTGTGTTTATAAGATTCGTTTTTAAAACTTTATCTACACACAGTGGTTCAGAAGTATATTTGTTGGATAAAGAAAGGTCATTTGTACCACCTTTATATACTCAGGACAACTATTTATTGATATCATACATAGTAAACATGCTCTTTTGTTAGGATTAAAATATATTTTTGTTAAGTTTCTCTTAAGGCCAAACTATTATGTTGGTCCCAAAGGGGAAAAAAAGTTAATGTCTTAAAATGAGTCCCCTTATTAATTGAATAGACAGCCCAGACGCTGGAGACTGCCTCTGATTTTATTGCTATTCTAATAAATTCTTGCCTATTTTCTTGTTTTGCACAAAGAGAAAAGAGATTATATATTGCCTAGTGCTCTTAAAATTATAAACCAGCATCTTAGTCCCTTCCATAATATTAAAATGAAAACATCACAGTTCTTTTAGAGGAAAGATCAGAGGCACATTTTCATGCCAAAATTCTTGAAGATCACTAACAGATAGATAGATGATAGAAAATAAGTCTACATCACCATGTCTTTCATTATGTATATGCGTATATCTGTATCAGTATCTTTTGTATCGGTATGCATATTATAAATTACAACTTATATTATAAATTATATTATGTATTATAAATTCCAATACACATACCATAAGAAGTTACATGTAGAGAGAAAACTCTACTGTGTACATTTTACTTTCTGACTCTAAGGAGTTTTTGTTTTAAAAATGAGCTCATTTTTAGTTTATTTGATTATGAATAATGACACTTTATGGCTAGTCATGTATATTATTCTAGGGAAAGGATCCAGTTCACTTAATTACAGTTACTCTTTTCTTGCTGGCTTTCAATCTTCTTTTACTGTGTCTGTTCATATTTTATATGAGAACGATTTTGTAACTATGACTATAACCAAGAATGTCCAGCGTGTATTTAAGTACATTGAACAATAATTGTTATTTCTCAGACTTTATCAACTACCTGAAATGTAAAAAAGTAGCAACTAAACCACCACCCTTTCTTCTCACACCAGGGTCTGTGGCTTTTTTTATAGCTGCTCTTAGCAATGCCTTAGTCCACAGGGAAGTTTTAATTCTATTATTTAAAAAATTATAGTGCCTAGCTTAAAAATATTCTTTAGGCGTTGTCTGTTGTGTTCTTTTGGCATAAATACGTTCATTTTTCCCTGAGGTCTGTGTCAGCCCCGGGTGCCAGGGACGGTGGGAGCAGAGCCATTCTCCGCTAAGCTGCGCTACACAGGCCCCGAGGACCCAGACTACACAAACCTCATCAAGCTCACGGTCACAATGCCACACATAGATGGTAGGTGGCTTGGGTAAGCACATCTGTGGGAGTGGTTTGGGCTCCTCACTACCTGGTTTATGCCACTGAATACCCAAAATCGCCCAGCAGACGGTAAAATGTTCATTTTGCAACGTCACCTTCAAGTCTTTCTGTTTCTTTCAAGTGATTCTGCTTCCTTTCTATCCTGTTGTTTTTTTTTTAATCTGACAATTTAAGCATTCTTTAAAATTAAATAAATTTAAAACATTGTCCAAACACAATGGAACAAAACTTTGGTCAATGTGCTAGTTTTTATGAAATGGTATGACTGTGTATTTAAAACTCTTGAACTTGGACTTCCAGTAAAGTATTTTATATCTCATTGAGCACCCTCAACATGCATTTGCTATTTCATAGCTGGAATTTAAAAATCCAATTTATAAATCGTGTTCATTTGCTCCAGATAGGAATTTGTGAGTCGGTAACTTCATCCACACTGTGAATATTTCCCCAGTACAGAAAACATCTACAAGTTCTGTTCTCCTCAACTGACTTTATACCTAAATTGTTAATATTAATTTTATTACTTGGTAGTTAGTTATATGTTAAGTAGTGAAGCAAGAAGAAGCACAAGGCAGTATTAGGAACGATGAGATTGAATTTATCTTTCTTGGGAAAAAAAAGACATAATTCTGCTTTTTCTGCTTATTGCAAACCTAAATTTGTGCTGGTGGGAGGTAGGTGGACTAGAATCTACACCACTTTATAGCATAATGTGGATCCCACGTATGACCAGCTCGTCTCTAGGCTCGTGTTGGAGGTGTGACTCAGAGGTGCAAAGGACCAAGTGGGGACCCATTGGGGAAAATCAAACCTGTAACAGTTACTAATGGGAAGACTGGTCCCTCATGCTACTCCTAGAGCTGACTTGGCATTGTCTGACATGGTCAACAGCCACAGCTCTGCCAGAGCTGAGTAAAAGCTGACCAGTTCTTTTGTGAGGCTAGAGTTTTGCTCAGGGAGAATCTGAGAGCAAGAAGGGGGAAAGGTTCCAGGAAAACACCTCTCTCATGGTCCTTTTTGCTGCATTCTCATGCCAGGGCTCAACAAACTCTGGCCCCTGTGCCAAATCCAGCTTACTTGCCTGCTTTCATAGGCTCTTGCAAGCTAGAAAATGGTTTTTATGTTTCTAAATGCAGGGAAAAAAACAAAGAAGAATATTTCATGGAACATGAAAATTACACGAAATTATGCTCCATTGTGCATGAAAAGTTTTATTGCGCAGTTACAGAAATTCTTTTGCATGTCTTCTGTGACAGCTTTCTATCTAACATGGAGCATCAAACAGTTGAGACATAGACCTTACAGCTGCAAGTCCTAAAATATTCACTATTTGACCTTTTATGCAAGAAGTTTGCCAGACTATAGCTTATACTCCATAGTGGTCATTTTCAGACATTTTGGTCTCAGGACATCCTGATAAATTATTTAGGATCTCAAAGGCCCATTGTTTTTATGAGTTATATCTATAAATATGGACTGGATTTAAAATCAAAACCAAGGAATTATTAAATACTCATTTTTTCATTCATTTAAAAATAATCTACACATAGTCACATGGAAAACAAAAATTTAGGAAAAATAGCTCTAACTTATAAATCAAAAAAATTATTGTTTTTTTTACATTTTTGAAAATACCGTTAGTGTCTGTCTTCATAAAAGGCAGCTGAATTATTTTATCTCCCTCTGCATTCAATCTATGGTAATATGTGATAACTCTGAAAAACTCCACTGTATTGAGAGAATAATGGTGGAAAAGTCAAATAATGTCTTAGAATCATTATGAAAATAGTTTTAATGTCACAGATCTCCTGAAAAATGCCAAGGACCCCTGGGATACCACGTTGATAGTAATCACTGCTGTACAGTATTTTATAACACTTGTCTTCTTGAGAACAAAGAAATGATCATTGTTCTAAATCCTTTGCTGGTGACAATGGCAATATGATCACAATTCCTTGCAGGCATGCTCCCTGTGATCTCTACCAAAGAGCTGTCCAACTTTGAGCTCACCCTCAGTCCTGATGGCTCAAGAGTTGGAAACCACCAGTGCTCCAACCTTCTGGATTATACCGAAGTGAAGACTCACCATGGTTTCTTAACTGATGCTACAAAAAATCCAGAAGTAATTGGAGAGACGCATCCTTACCAGTACAGCTCATCTATCAGAGGCTCTAGTACCTTACGCTTCTATCGAAACCTGAACCTGGAGGCCTGTTTGTGGGAGTTTGTTAGCTACTATGACATGTCAGAACTTCTCACTGACTGTGGGGGCACCATCGGGACAGACGGACAGGTAGGAATATTGAACATATAAGCTTTGGGCACTGGAAAAGTGAGTTGTTTTTTTTCAGGTATCCAGATGAAGACTAAATCCCAACTCTAGTCTTCCATTCTGGTGGCAAAGGTCATTAGGTACAAGAGGAAACTTGCACGAGTGGTGTGAAAATTCATGTCTGTTTCTGGAACAAGGTGTCGAAATTTTGACACATTTTTTTAGTGATGGGCTCAAAACATCTTTGTATCAAAGGTCACTATGTAATTGTTGCTGTAAATTCCAAATATACTCCGATATTATAAAAATCCAAATATTAATTTCTCTCCAAAGTATACATTATCATTTATTGTGTATATGTACAAATGTCCATGTTGTGTCACAAGCCATCTAAAGTGAAGATTTAAAATTGGTCAGCCCAGTTTTTCTCCCTCCTTTTCTTCTTCTACCTTCTGTCTTTCTCTCCTTTTACCCCCTTTACTCCTTCCTAGTTTCTTCCCCATTCCCTCCCCATCTGCTTCTTTTCTCCATCACTAACATAGTCAAAAGTATTTTCATTAAAAGCTTATTGTTATTTCTACTCTAGAGTTACTGACTCCTTTTCACTCCACACAGATATTTACATATAAAATACACAGCACAAGGGCACTTGGGTGGCTCAGTGTTTAAGCCTCTGCCTTCAGCTCAGGTCATGATACCAGGGTCCTGGGATCGAGCCCTGCATCGGGCTCTCTGCTCAGCGGGGAGCCTGCTTCCTTCTCTCTCTGCCTGCCTTTCTGCCTAACTTGTGATCTCTGTCTGTCAAATAAATAAAAATAAAAATAAAATCTTAAAAAAAAATACACAGCACACACACGGACACACAATCCCTACTCCTGTCATCATCACCAAAGTTGTCAAAATGATAAGGTAGCAAGATCTCCATTAGCAGTTATGATAGAATTTTAAAATATGTTGGGTGTAGTTGAGAAGTGTAATGAGTATTTGAACTAAAAGCCATGCTCTGTCCTACCTCGACTAAACAAAGAGTTCATATAAGTCCACTTACACACTAAAGTATTGAATGGTACCCAGGATGTATCAGCTCTTTCAAGATTTAACCAGGGTAAGGCTGATGTCCAGGCTATATCCCTGTGGTGTTAAAGTATAGATCAAGTAGTAGCATAAGAAAGAGAGATAGTAACTGAGTATCAGTTTAACACCAGGACAGAGCTGTGAAATGGGACACATTCAGCTGGTGCTGATGAGCGAGGGGCAGTCATTCATCTGAGTCCATCTGGGGACTATTGGACTCTAAGGGAATGAGACATTCTCTCCATCTCCTCTAAAAGCAGCAAAATACTGAGAAATTTTCATGGATTAGTAAAAATCCCCAAACAACAATAGGAAGACAGTGTGGAATGTGGAAAGGGCTTGGGTATTAGAATCCAGCAAATGCAGACCTAAATTTGGCTCTCATGTTTTCTAGCCTTGCGTCTTTGGGTAAATTACTTAAGCCCTCGAAAGTGTTACCTCTTCAGGTTCCTCTTTCCCAGTATATCTTTGCCACCAGGAAAAAATACGAAAGAAAAAAGTCCTGCCCCAGAATAAAAATGCTCATATTAATGAATCTACCTCAACCTTTTTCTTTATAGACACTTGGTGAATAGATTCCACTTAGGGTTTCATAAGAGTTTTGCAAATTTTCACATTTCTGAATTTACGATGGAAAAATGGGGAAAAGTAAAGGTAAACCATCAATATGGACTAACTGTCTTCAGGCAGCTTTGTGGTTGTGTTGCCCACTCTGTTGGCCAGCAGATCCTGAAGGAAGCCAGTGCTGCCCCCAGTCTGTTTGTCCTCTGCCAAGAATGCACGCCCCCAGCCAAGTATTTAATAGACGTGACTTTCTCTCTTGTAGTCCTTTTCTATACTTGGCACCTTAGATCAAGATGATCACCATGCAGACAAATTTTACTCCCTCATAATTGCTTCCCCCAGGAACAACATGATGAACTGACTTTTTTTTTGTGTGCGTTCTTAGTGGCTGCAGCTACCTCTACAAAACACTGGCAAGTCCCTGCATTTCTCTGTGATTGAAAGCTGTTCCTAACACTTTCTGAGAAAGATTCTCTACCTTCCCTAACTTCTCACATTCAGATTATTTAACTTATAAGACAGAGTTGCTAGACTGAAGGGATCATCTGCAATATTCAAGATAGTTCTCTATTCATAGCAAATGAAGTTTTATTAAGTTTATTAAGATATTAAGATATTAAGACCATTTCTGCTTTTTTCTCATCTTCTTCATTGCATCTTCCTTCATTAAAGAAATATGAGCTTAACACCTCCTCTGTGCCAGGGACCAACCTAGGTACCTGGTGAGGAAACCAGAGAGAGAGAGCTTACACTCCCAACAAAGTAGAGTTGTAGGAGTCAAGCCTACAACTATAAAAGTTAAGAATTTTACTTGCCAAGAAAGAGAAACGTGGACTTTTCTAATGATCTTTAATCCTAAAATCCTTTTTAATAGTTTCTAAAATACAAAAGGAGATGGGTAGCAGGAAAAGAAAAATAGAGATAAATTAAAAAATGATACTGCTCCTCTGTTTTGTGTGACAAAACAGTGTTTTGTAAATACAAAGTTAAATTGTTTTGGTGTACCATAAAAAACATTTGTGGTACAAAATAATTATTAAAGTTAAACCAAGTTTTTAAAAACTATTGGATATTTTGGTGGTGACTTTTCTCTTGAAAACAACTTATTTTACAAATGAAAGCCCTCAGTTCATTCCACTTTTCAGGAGCCTGGCTATTGGTCCTGCGGAGGTCAGAATCTTAGCTCTTAACTTTGTTTAGGTAAACACCTACTGATAACATTGTTCCAGGAGCATAAATAAGCTACAGAAATGCAGCCCCATGTAAGTTTGCACTGGAAACATTAAATTTTCATTTACTTATGAGAAGGCATGATTTTCCATGATTTTGGAAAACTAAACATGTTTTTTCCTTGGTTTGAGGAATAATCTTTCTTCCTTATTACTGTGTGTTGGGATTTAGAAACATGGAACGACTTTAGGGCAAGAATATATTTAAAAGTCATCTCTTTCCATTGTAGTATTTTATGCTTAGTACTTGGATTTACTCTTTTACACCTGTATGTTACTCTAAATCATTTTATAAGAAATTGTAAGAAGAATCCAAAATGTGGCTTACCTGGAGCATGTTGCTTCTTAGTCAACTTTGTCAATTATTTTTTTTAATAGTGTGGTTTCTTTGTTATTGTTGCTGTTGTTTTATATATTTATTTGGGACAGAGAGAGAGCACAAATGGGAGCGAGAGGGAGCAGAAGACTCCCCGCCGAACAGGGAGCCTGATGGAGGGCTCCATCCCAAGATCCTGAGAACATGACCTGAGCCAAAGGCAGATGCTTAACTGACTGAACCACCTACGCACCCCGGTTTCTTTGTTTTTTAAGTAAGAGTAATGATAGTAGGATGGAAAGCTGGGGAACTAAAAAAAAAAAAGTAAAAAAAAAAAATCTTGTTGCACTATCACTGTACACAGATTTTATAGTGTTTTCCAATGTACAGACATATTTTTGATAGTAGCAGTGTAATGTTATTTATACCATCTTGTATACTGCTTTTTAACTTAACAATGGTGAGCATTTTCTCATGGCAAGGAAAATTCTTTAGATACATGACTTTTGTTGGCTACATAATATTTTGCCGTGTGTGTCATCATAACACATTTAGCCATTCTTCTATTGTTGGTCATTTAGATAATTTCTAATTCTATTATTGTAAATATCCCATAGAGTTGCCCTTAATACCAAAGAATCTGTGGGCCAGAATTGACCCTACCTCATTCCAAGGTCTCTTTTGTGCATCTCTGAGCCGATATGCCTTTAGAAAGACTTGTAATTGGACAGAAGCCAAGGTCTCTTTCTTCCAAGTGTTCCTGGATGTGGAGGCTGCTATTACTACTAATCCCTTGGCTGAGGATTCTGACTTGTTAAAACAGTGTCCTCCACTGAGTAGCTAAGTACATGCTTTATTGAGACTTCAAGCTGTTGACATTTGTGAGCCTTCTTTACACATTCACAAACACCACCATCTTGATGATGTAGACATCTTTCTGGAAACAAAAGGAACAACAGAAATTACAACCAGTGGGAAATCCATACCAGCATTAGCCCTCAGATAATATTCAAACAGCTCTAGTTCAATTTTTAATCTTTGAAGTGAGCACAAACCACATATCCCACATAAAGGTGGGTAGGAACTGGATTATGAAATATTTTTAAATGATTACTGTTTTCAACCTGTGTGGTCCAATTAAAGACCTTGGGCAGAAGAATGTAGTCAGTGCTGCCCAATATGGTAACCACTAGCCATATGTGGTTACTGAGCATTCAAAATTGAGGTGTGTTATTCTTATAAAATACAAACCAGATTTCAAAGACTTAGTAGGGGAAAAAAAAAACCCTCAAAAATAATGTTATACTGATTGCATATTAAAATATAATATGTTTGATATATTGGATTAAGTATTCTTAAAACTAGTTTCACATGTTTCTCTTTACTTTTTGAAGTACAGCTGCTAGAAAATTTTAAATTACATGTGTGGCTTACATTATGTTTTTATTGGATAGTGCTGGTCTATATACTTGAGTGTTAGTGACTGATTGTACTGAATAATCTTGGGCAAGCCAACTGACTTCTTCATGGCTTAAGTTCAACACATGTAGAATACAGCTTTGCTCAAATGAAAGTTGCAAAGGAACATAGTAAATCTAGATCACTTTCATTAGTACATATGTATACTGCCAACTTCTGTAAGAAACAGTATATATATATACATATATATGCATATATCTACTGCCTACTTCCATAAAGCAATATGAATTTGGATAGCTTTTTTAAAAATTAAATTTAATTTTTTTTCAATGTTCCAAGATTCATTGTTTATGCACCACACCCAGTGCTCCATGCAATATGTGCCCTCTCCAGTACCCACCACCAGGCTCACCCAACCCCCCTTCCTCCTCCCCTCCAAAACCCTCAGTTTGTTTCTCAGAGTCCACAGTCTCTCATGGTTCATCTCCCCCTGAATCTGGATAGCTTAAGCTGGATGCCCAAATAAGTGAAGAATTCAGCTTACTGTGAGTTACCTCAACACTAGTCCCCACCTTAGACAATATTCTGTGTGTAATTTCTCTTTTAGCATATTCATTTTCTTTCCTATTCTTCCCTTCTCCTACCCATCTGACACAGCCCAGTGAATTTCGTTTGTGTTTTTATCTGGCAATAAATACTTCCCCAAACATAGACTTGCTGCCCATTATTAGCCACTTCAGAGCAGTAGTAGTAGTACTAGAAGCAGAAGCAGTAGAAACTTATATCACTGTTATGTTTTCCAGAAATCTTGCATTTTACACTTTCCTTTTAAATATGGAATTTAAAGTATCATTTGGTTTTGCTGAAGAAACTTCAAACATCTGTAAGGACATGTAATCTCCTTTGTTGTGTCACAATTGCTTTAAGAGCAGTGTACCAGATTTAACATCTGTTTCTTCTAGTATAAACAAATCCCTTAAAACATCCTGTGATACAGGCTGAAAGAAAACTAAGTGCTCATTAAGGTGATATCCAGAAGTTAGACTGACAACACTGTGTTCTTCAGTTTTATAAGAATGAGCAGGTGGGCGACCTGGATGATTGACATCATTCCATTGACACCAGTTACTCTAGACAGAACTTCCAATCAGACAAAGAAGGCCTGGTCATAATGAACAAGAAAATGGAATAAGATGCTTATCTCATGTCCAGAAATGGCCAAACTCCAGGTTGCCACAAGAAAGAAAATAAAAATTAGGGAACTTTATGCCAAGTAACTCATAGGAAGTGAATATTAAGAGTTCTCTATAAAATAGCACAGTCAATAACATTTGATAGAGTATAATGTTGGCAGAAATTTTTAGCACCTAGATAGTTTAACTGGAAACTCATTCCTAAAGCCTGATTTTTAAAAGATGATGGTTTACTGGGGCACCTGGGTGGCTCAGTGGTTTAAAGCCTCTGCCTTCAGCTCAGGTCATGAGCTCGGCAGGGAGCTGCTTCCACCTCTCTCTCTGCCTGCCTCTCTGCCTGCTTGTGATCTCTGCCTGTCAAATAATGAATAAAATATTAAAAAAAAAGATGATAGTTTATTAAAACCACAGGATGAAATATTAATCTTAATTTCTAGGGGCATATACATTGGCTTGATCACTCTTCTTTACACTGAGTGTTAAAATTGCACTACAAGATCAGTTTTAACTGAGTGCAATAATATTGACCCTTAACAATATTATCTCAGAGGACTTTGGTTGCAAGGCCCCTCTTCTGCTAGCTGAGTTAGCAGATGATGAGGAGTGCAAGCTATGACACAGCTAGCAATCAAATGTTTCGCTTGGATGATGGTATTCTTTTTGTATACTTTTGTTGACAATTCAGGTCATCAACTTTTTGTGACTTAAGGAGCTTTTTTTTACTCTATGACAAAGTGATAAATTATTGTTATCATTGATTATGTTATTTACTAACACGTGTGTATGATACCTGTTGCCAGCTCAATGTGGAAAGAGAATGAGAATGGTATTAGAAAGCCCAAATGGAACTTCTGAAGAGTATGATCTGACCTAAGTCAGATCTAAGATGACCTAAGTCCATCATTGCTTGCGTAAAAGATAGTTTTATTTGCCCAGCTCTTCGGCAGAGCTATTTTGAGAATTAAGTATGATAACATTGGTTAGGTGATCCTAGGACTGTCCTCAGCTTTGTTTGGAGTGCAATGAGGTGTGTTAGAGTAGAAAAGCAGAGGCAAAAGACTGGATTCTAATACTGGCAGGGCCATTCAGAAAGCTTAAAGAATTCTATGAGAATTTGCTTTATTTCTTTGAACCTCAATTTTTCTCTCTTTCCTTTTCTATGCATCATCTTTACATCCATCCATGTACCCATCCATCTACCCACCCCTCTAGCCAGCCAGCCAACCAGCCAGCCATCCACACATGCATATAAATATAATTATGGGGGAGAGTAAAAATATTAAATAGTTTTTATTGTGAACCTAGGGGCTCAATAAATGAATATTAGTTTATCCTCCATAACTCCTAACTTTCCTACAAAATACCTGAAGAAGGAAAGCATAAAATTCAAAGGAAGTCCCTTCATTTCAACTAATTAATTTTACAACATATAAAGTATTACATGTCATTACTCAACATGTTTGCTTGTAGATCTTTCTCTATGCTGTCTTCCTTTATGTAATAATTTAAAAGTACCTTATAGCAGTGTTATTCATAATAGCTCAAAACAGGAAGTAACCCAAATGTCCATCAGCTGATGGACAGATAAATATGTGCTGCGTATGCATGCAGTGGGATACTACTCAGAAATAAACGTATTGAAATGTGCAGCAACATGGATGCACCTTGAAAACATAAGTGAAAGAAGCCTGTCACAAAAGATCACATAGTGTATGACTCCATATATGGAATATCCAGAACTGGCAAGTAAAGAGAGACAGAAAATAGGCTAGTGGCTACCGGGGCTGGGAGGAAGAAGGAACGAAGGTGTGACTTCTCACGGGTTTGGAATTCTCTTTGGAGGTGATGAAAGTGTCCTAAAATTGATTGTGTTCAAAGTTGCTCCTCTCCCCGAATACATGAAATACGGCTGGTTTGTCCCCTTTAATCACTGAATTATATGGTATGTGAATTATATCTTACTAAAGCTGTTATGAAACAAAAAGGACTGTGTAGGTATAATATACTCAAAATAATGCAATTTACTTTCAAGACTGCTGCCGCATATCCTTTGTTGCAAAGGAAGGTAATGGTAACAACTAGTTAAATGCTCCAGAATTAGGTCAGGGACAATAGTATAAATGCTGTCACTTCCTTACCTCAATGGTCACTCAAAATCTCTAGTTGAGTGAAAGGAGATAAGTGTCTTGTAAAAAAGTTAGGCTCCTCCAGTTAACACCGAATCATGCTGACAGATGTAATTTCATTGTTTTAGGTCCTAAATCTAGTGCAGTCCTATGTGACCCTTCGAGTTCCTCTGTATGTTTCCTACGTGTTCCATTCCCCGGTTGGGGTAGGAGGCTGGCAGCATTTTGACTTGAAGTCAGAGCTCCGCCTAACTTTTGTGTATGACACTGCCATCTTGTGGAATGATGGAATCGGCAGCCCACCAGAAGCCGAACTCCAAGGTGGGTAATAATTTGGAAAATTAGTTTTCTCATCTATTTGACTTACTTAGGACTTTTTTTTTTTTAACTGTAGCAAAATAAATAATAGAAGCAACTTTCAATAAATTTTATTTTTATGTTCAGTATTTTAAGATTATTTCATTTTGTCATGGAAAAACTAACAAAATCCGATCAGTGCCTAAAATTTTGTGTAACAAGTGACTGTTATAGATATCATAAACATTTCATGGGTATTTAACCCTGACAGTCCATTTCAGGTGATTCATCATTTATGAGTTACACAACATAGTCTGTGTGTTTCCTAGGTTCTAGAAAATGTATAGAGGAAGTTCCAAATGAAAATAAGAAATGAACCCAAGAGAAAAATGTATGCTTTTTTTTTTTTCTTCTGAAAATGAGATAGATCCTGGCTTCTAGTTCTGGCTTCCACAGCTTACTAGCTTTGTGATCTTGAACATACTGCTTAGCCTTTGTGGCACTCAGTTTCTCCTCAAGGGTAGACTAGACTGCTAATATTCTTTTTATTTTAAATTTCTCATTCTGTAATATTTTAGCTGGATGTTTTGGAACAGCAGTGGTAAGTACAACTAACTCCTAAGCCTGTAAGCACCTGCCAAACTTTCTTTCAATCTCTGTACCAGAATAATAATTTAAAGTCTACAGGCATAAAGCTAATTTATCTATCCGTGGAATGAATAGTTTCTTTTCAGACACATGCTGCTGTTCTGGTTCCATGCCTATCTGAGCATCATGCCTGCATTACTTTTTACGAGCCAGAGAGAAAATACTATTGACAGTGTCTCAAAATTTGCTATCTTAAACAGATTTAAGATTGCCTTAAATTTACGTGAAAGGTTATATGATCACCCTGAGTGATCATTCTAAATTATTTTATATTTCAGTGTTTTGGTTACACATCTTGCCTTAGAAAGTGTATATTTAAGGAAATTTAATGTGGATCCATGCTGTGGTCTCAAGTTCTACATAAGGATCTCATGGTTCCTTCTTGTCTCTGGAACCAACTTTGGTCAAACTGCCAAAAGTTTTGGAAAACCTCCAGAGTTTTTATTAAGTCTGTAAAATTTGGAATCATTCTGGAGAACACGAACCCACATCCAAGTCCAAATCTTCAGGACTTGACAACTTTATTGTGTCTCTAAATTTACAACTTCATTTATGTAGACTAATGCTTTCAGGGGAAAAAAAAATCTAGGGGCACCTGGGTGGCTCAGTGGGTTGAAGCCTCTGCCTTTGGCTCGGGTTGTGGTCCCAGGATCCTGGGATTGAGCCCCACATCCGGCTCTCTGCGTAATGGGGAGCCTGCTTCCTCCTCTGTCTCTCTCTGCCCGCCTTTCTGCCTACTTGTGATCTCTCTCTGTCGGATAAATAAATGAAATCTTAAAAAAAAAAAAAAATCTTGGCCTGTTGTCTATTTCGTGTTGTCTGTTTCTATCTATTTCATGTTGTCTATTTCATGTTGTTAGTTATGTCACTAACATGAGTGACCTCACTCATGTTACCTGATTCTATTTCGCCTCCCTTCTTGACACCCTTTCTTGTTAAAAAACAAAGCAAAACAAACAAAACACTTGTGCTTCTCTTATCACTCAGAATTCTGATCACAGTCTTTGGCTAGAATGCTTAAAGATGAGACATATCTCAATTCAAATTTGGAAGAAATTCTGCATATAATGAGTCCCTGGTCACCAGTGTTTCCACTCTTGTGCACTCTGCTCATGTAGGTTCTCTCTACCCCACGAGCATGCGCATCGGTGAAGAGGGGCGCTTGGTGGTGAACTTTAAGACAGAGGCTCAGTTCCATGGTCTGTTCGTGCTGTCCCATCCCGGTAAGTCCTGTTATCCACAAGAAGCTGCTCCCTGCACCACAGAACACAGATATTCCAGGCCCTATGCTACCTGATGAGCTATGAAACCAGCTTCTAAACTTAACTTCAAGTGAATTGTCCATGTGACTTATCCACAGGAGGGTTTGATAATTGTTCAGCTACATCTCATAAGCTACAAATTCATCGTTATCAACATAGCCTTTTAGAGAAAATACAAAATGACAGTAAATTTAAACAAAAACTCTACTGAGTTCATTTTAAGTGGAGTTTTCCTTAGATAAAGAGCATAGCAACCACAGGCCCCTTCTCTGCCTCAATTCTGTTGCATACAAAGTTGAATTTGAAGTCATTTGTTTAGCAAGGACTCCTCTGTTCACAGCCGTTTTCTGGATGCCATGAGAAACCTTTATCATAGAGCTGGATGTGACATTGTACTATGATACTTACATTTCAGACATGTTAACTAATTACCTTTAATAAAGATTTGCTGTGTCATTTTACTAACTGCGAACACTGTGCTTTAAATACCAATAAGGAAGCAGGCACTGAAGTCCAATGCCCAAGCTTTTTTTAAATATAAAGGACATCCCATTAGAAATTTTTTTTTATTTGACTCTCCATATCACTAAATTGGTGTTGCATATTTTGCCCATTTGCCAACTATTGTCAGATTGGACGGGGAACATAGTTCAATCCATGTCTTCTGCTTTCCGTTTTCTGGGTTTGAGCTCTAAACAAGGAAAGAATAGGGCCAAAATTCAGAAGAGAAAGAGGGCTCATTGTATATTTATGAGGCTGAGCTACAAGACATACTGACCCAAAAAGAATCATTTGGCTTTATTGTAACTGATAGTTCTGGAAAATAAGGATTTCTTGGTCTTTACAGATCCCTTCCACATGTCTACCTTTCTAATAAACTGAGTCTTTGTTTAGACACAATTGCAGGCAATCTAATTAAAATTAGGTTCCGTTTGTAAGTTGGGTTTGCCCCGCTGTGCGGATGCTAAGAGACTAAAGTTGATCTCGTGGCTTCGATGCACAATAAATGCATTCACATCAGCTGTTACTGCACTGCTGTGCCTTCCCTGGAAAGTCGCCCTGGACTATTTGAGCATTTCTGCACAATTATCTCTTCACAGAATCATAGAGTGGGAAAAGCACTGAATTAGGATTCAGAAGGCACACATCCTAACTGCGCGATCTTGAGAGAGTCACTATAATCGGCCTCAGCCCACATTCTCCAAGGGGGGGAAATGAAGCTAATTATACCAACATTGGGGCTTTGAAAGCTTAGTATTAAGAATAAAAGCAAGCAATGTACTATCGGGTGCTTTGAAAACCCTAAGCTGTTATGCACTCTTACAGCCACTCTACCATTATTCTTACTGGCACTTTTCTAGCATCCTTCATGAGCTCAATGATCATGTCAGCTGATCATCCAGACCTGACCTTCTCCCTGCGCCTCATCAGGAGTGAACCGACCTATAACCAGCCCATGCAACAGTGGAGCTTTATGTCTGACTTTGCAGTAAGTGACTCAGGCTCTTAACTTTCCTTTTCTGCCGCTTCGGATGACACCTCAGATTCTTAAAGGCAAAACCTAAATGTCCTCCCTTCTCCTTAAAGGTACGTGACTATTCAGGGACTTACACAGTGAAACTGCTGCCTTGCACCACTCCATCGCATCAAGAGTACCGCCTGCCAGTCACCTGCAACCCCCGAGAGCCTGTCACCTTTGACCTTGACATTCGGTTCCAACAGGTGCGTCTCTTGCAGTTGCTTTCCGGTGACTTCTCCAATCCCACTTCATGAAGATTGTGGTTTACTTGTATCAGTAAATAAATAAATAAATAAATTCACACCATGACTTACTAATTCTTGCTTGCTGAGAATAAAGGAAGTCAGACAGGAAGGAAGCAAGAGAAGAAGGAAGGAGGAAAGAACTGCCCTTCCTCTGTCGTTGGTTCAGGGTATAAAATCCAGAGTTGAAGAGTATGCAAGGGTTATTTTTTTTCTTATGTGATCTTTTCTCCTCCTGGAGTTTGCTGCCTTGGAGAGTTGAGGGTTTTCCCCGGAGTTCTTCTGTATGTCTTTGCCTTGTTCTTGATCTTCAAGGAAAATAAATATCCTGTAGTTCATGACCTCTCCAAGTACCTAACTGCCATTATATAGTAAAAGAAATATGACGGCACTTTTTGTCCAAGGACAAATACTAAGTGTTGGCCCCGCACTGAACATAAGTATAAGTCCCATATATACCCTGTGAAAACAATGGAAAAGAACTCAAGGAACGCTGCTGTTTCGTCTCAGTCAAAACATTTCACCTCGCCAGTATCGCCTTCTCATGAAGGGCAGAGCCAGTGTTTCAATCCCCTGTGTTAGTCTGGTCGGATGTGAAAACTGCAGTGCAGTCTTCAGTCATCTACGTGTGCACGTACAGCCCATGTGTGTGTCTGTGAATAAGGCATTTGTGCACCGCCAGGGCAATCGGCAACCCGTAACAGAGCTTTCACACTTGGTTTTAGGTCAGCGATCCAGTGGCAGCTGAGTTCAGCTTGAACACCCAGATGTACCTCCTCTCCAAGAAAAGCCTCTGGCTGTCTGATGGATCCATGGGATTTGGGCAAGAGAGTGATGTTGCCTTCGCGGAAGGTACCCGTTTCACAAATGAGACAGCCGCTCTGTCTGCTCGCCGCCGCATCTGCTGTGCTTTGCTTTATTGGGATCACGTTTAAGAGGGGAAATTATCAGCGCTGGCGTACTCTTGAGAATATTACTGGGTCTTTACCACTTTGGCAGGGATGGCTAGGGCCACTGGAATTGGATATATGCTACTAGATGGTTTTTCCTCTGGGGAAGTTAATCTCTATTTCCTCTGCCTAAGTGACTTTTGGAACCAATCTAGATTTCCTTTTCGTGAATCTTCTTTCCAGGTGCATAGACTCAAATACTGCAGCTACTTGAGACTGTCGATGCCTCATGGTGAGGGTCATATCTGTGCTGCTCAGTGGCGTGTTCCTGACCCTTAGCAAAATGCCTAACACGCATGGTGGGAGTTCAGTAGTAGTGGCGAAACAGATGGCTGACTGCAAGGGAATTTCCAAACTCTCCTTCAAAAAAATCACATAAAGCCAAATCAGCTTTTTATCAATATTTTCTTTTCTATACACTTTATTAGTCTGTATCCTGCCAAATAATTTATCTATATGAAGTGGACTTTAAACCACAGTGGAATTATGAATATTAAATTATAGACCAAGGCTTGAGGTTATTCCCACTACTGACTGAACATGGGACAGTCAATAAATCCGCAGTCACTTGTGGTCTGTCCCCAGAGTGGTCTCACCTGAGGCCTGGGAGTGGGTGACATCCTGAAAGTCTTCCAATATTTGATGGCAGATTAGAAAAAGAAGGAAGTACTCCCTAGGGAGCGTTATTGTCACCAATGGTTTGCAGAGTCATGTGGACAGGACTTACCACGTAACAGAAATGACACTTCCACATATCTGTTTCAGGGGACATCATTTATGGGCGTGTCATGGTAGATCCTGTCCAGAATCTGGGTGACTCCTTTTACTGCAGCATTGAGAAGGTGTTTCTGTGCACTGGAGCTGACGGCTATGTTCCCAAATACAGTCCCACGAATGCAGAATATGGCTGCTTAGCTGACTCTCCTTCACTCTTATATAGATTTAAAATTGTGGTAAGTGCTTTGCCCCAAACAGTGAACTAGGTAGATGTTCAAAGTTCAATGTTTTCATCTGGTATTTAAGAACAATAACATCTTTTTAAATGAAATACAGTGGTGACATTGTATGGTCATCTGTACTTGCACAAACCTAAAGAAACCATTCTGTACTTGCAAAAGTTGGCATTATCTACATTATCTACTCCTCATTTTCTTTATTGCTTAAAGGACAAAGCTCAGCCAGAGACACAAGCCACCAGTTTTGGAAATGTCCTGTTTAATGCCAAGCTAGCAGCCGATGACCCTGAAGCTATTCTCTTAGTGAATCAGCCTGGATCCGATGGCTTTAAAGTCGACTCAACGCCACTCTTTCAGGTGGGCCAGTAATAAGCCCCTTAAGCCAGCTCTGTGAGCACATGCAAATTACTTAATACTGGGATGATCCAAGTGTCTTCTATGAAAGGGCAATGATAGTAATACTGCATAAGTAATCATAACATTGAATAAGGTAATGCAGGTAAGCCACACAGGACCATAGTGGGCACCTGGTAAGCATTCTGTAAACCCTAGGTATTATTATTTTTATTAGTGCATTCACCTTATTTTAAGGCTATGAGTAATAAAGACCCTTATTCAGCCCAGAATAGAAATCTAAGTCTGATGTTTGGAAACTCTGCTTTGCTTTTCTTTTCTTTCTTTCTTTCTTTCTTTCTTTCTTTCTTTTTTTTTTTTAAAGATTTTATTCATTTATTTGACAGAGAGAAAGAGATCACAGGTAGGCAGAGAGGCAGGCGGGGGAGGGGGACGGAACAGGCTCCCCACTGAGCAGAGAGCCCGATGTGGGGCTCCATCCCAGGACCCTGAGATCAGGACCTGAGCTGAAGGCAGAGGCCTAACCCACTGAGCCAACCAGGCGCCCTGGAAACTCTGCTTTTCTTATTCAAAACTTCCTTCCTGTTGACTTTTCATGACCATCTTTATTAGAGTGATCTTGTTTGAACTGCTGGCTTCAGAAAAGAAGTGTGCACAGCTCATAAATCTCCATTCTCAAAGACTTTATAAACCAAGACAGAATATCCTAGCCTAGCGATGGATGGTAAAAAGACATAGGTGACCCTGACACTGAGCAGACAAATGAGACAAATTCAGAGTTGTGCTTCCACGGAGAATCCTTGGAGGGGCAAGTACACCTTTTAGGAAATTTCCTGAAAATTGTCTACACCGGAGGGGCTGCAGACACAGTATCTGTCTTCACCTTAAAGAAGGAATATTAAGGAAGCATATTTGTTACTCGGAGTAATTTTTTAAAATGATTTTCACTGTTAATTCTCAAAGCATTAAACCCCTTTTAAATCCTGAAGGCTTCAGAGAGCCATCGGAAAGTCCCTTCTTTTCACAATCCCTAGAAAAGCAGAAAAACAGACCTTTTCTATGGTCTTCTATGTAAATATGCAGCCAGACGTACTGGAACAGAGTCCTGAGAGTCAGAATGTATGGGTTCTAGTCTTGCCTCTGCCACTAACTGGTTGAGTAACATTGGCACGTTATGTAACTGGTGCATCCTTCTTTACCCATTTTTCAGATGTGTAAGTTAAAACCATGTGACAGCTCCGACATTCTATGGCAGCAATCACAGATTGCCAAAGATTTACTGGCACACACTCCCTTGAGAGTCACACAAATATTTTAGAGTCCTTTACACAAAGCCTTGCACGTACTACCCACAAAAAAATGTGAAGGGTATTAATTCTGCAGTCTAGAGTAAATTCTCAGTGGTTGTCTCTGCCATTAATTTCTCTTGCAGGAGTCATGAATTAGGTCGGTGTGGTATTTAATTTTCTAACAAATAGAGTTGCATTTCCTAGGTTGCCCTGGGTCGGGAATGGTACATACACACGATCTACACGGTAAGATCAAAAGACAATGCCAATCGAGGCATTGGCAAAAGAAGTACCGAGTACCAGCACCACTCCATAGTGGGTCCAGGGAAGCCAGAGGCCACAAGCCAGGGCCGGAAGAAGAGGGAGATCAGGAGCCCACCCCCGCTGGCGTGGGACATAGGTGCTGACAACAACCGGGGAACCAACATCCAGCACATTGCCCTGGACCGCACCAGCAGGAAGCAGGTCCCCCAGGGGCGAGTTCCTCCTGATGGCGTCCTCCCTCGTGAGCTCAACCGGCCCAGCTCCGACGTCAGCCTGGTCACAGTTGTTGGCAGCATCGCGGTGGGGTTCCTCACCCTCTGCCTCGCTGCCATCACAGTGATGATGTGCAGGAAGAAGAAGGGTGCCAGGAGGAAGGGCGCCCTGAAAGGCTCAGGCAGTAGCAAGCCCATGATGGCCCCGCAGAGCCACCAGGGAGACAGCTCAGAGGTTTGAAGAGCGTCCCTGGGATTCAGCCTTGGCCTCCAGTGCCTTAGAAAGACAATGGAAACCCAAATGCTTCTGTCAGTGCCAGGGAATTGGGGACTTCTGTTACGAAGACGCTCAGAGGACCTGACTATCCTAATGAGCTTGGATTTGAATTCTGTCTACTTTTTCATGCATCAGAGAACAAATGCAGACCACAAATCACGCCTTTCCTCTGGCCCCAGAGGCAGCAACAGTGTATTCGTGTGTACACATAGCCATCAATGGACTGCCAGGAATGGACTTCTCATTTTAGGCATTTTTCTCTAAACAGTGGAGACAAATCTATTCCAAGGTGCTGCAGACTCTCTCAGAAGTTGAAGAGGAGTCTCCTGTTGCTATATGAGCATGAATCTTGAAGGTGCAATTATCACATTGTTTATTCATTGTATAACAGTTTATTCCTAGAAAGGTTTTCATGGATAGTCTGCACGAATGATAAATACACTGTTTACTATGACAAGTTTTTGAATAGGTGGAGACAGCATGGAATTATGATCAGGGGTGGCTCAACCCGTCATTCACCCTTCCTACTACATGGGAGGGAACGGAAGGAAAGATAGAGGGAAGGAAGTCACTAGGTTGGATTGGAATTGTTTCTCATCCTCATCAGAGCCTCCCTGTTTTACTTGCTTATTTAACTTTAAATTAAACCAAAGAATACGTTAAGTCTGGAAGAGACTGTCGAAGAAAGACTTTCCTGTTATATAGTGAGAAATAGTCGAATTCTTGCATGATAGTATATCTTATGGGTGCTCAACATTTGTGGGAAATAAGAGGGTTGGTGGCGTTTTGATGATGAAGAAGAAATGCTATAGAGTTAGATTCACATTTATAAGACAATGTTCTGTAAGAACTGAGCCTAGATGTTTGCAGTATTGAACCCAAAATTATGAGAAGTATCATTACAGGTGGTGGAAGGAGAAAGTGGTATTTATTAATATAATGTGTTTAACCAAAGTGCCTCTTCTACATCATGGAAATAAAGAACATTCTGACAGATGATATATGAGGTTAACCCTCAGAGGAGCATAATCACACAACAATGTCCAGAACTTAAATTGGCCATAGGACATTTCATTAACCTTCTAATCAGCCTCTGGGCCCAAAATGGGGACCTCTGCCCCTGTCATTCCAGAGATGGCCTTGGAGGCACTACCTTCTTTGATCCAGGAGGAGAGCAACATTCTTTGTCATCTCCAGTTCAGTGAGCTGACAGAGCAAGGTCCCTCTCAGTATCTGAAAACATACCGTGTGACACTGCTCACAGTGTTAAAAACCAGGAAACTTAAGTGAGCTTGCTTGGCAAGGTTCCCATCACCCTTCTGAAAAAATAGACTCTAAGCAAATGGCAGAAATTTCCGTTGGAAAGGGAAGGAAAATGTCAGTATTCCAGTGACCAATCTCCCAAAAGCTAGTGAATGTATTTCAAGCAAAAATAGAGTCAGGAGAAAAAGAACTGTACTTAAGGGCTAACTAACCCTCACGTGTTGCCTGGAATCTTTTCACTTTTGTCCATAGCCTGGCCACACTGGACGTCCTAGTGGAATGGATCTCATCTGGTGTCCATGGGCACCAGCCATCTCTTTATTGAAAAAAGGAATCTACGTTGGTGCTGAGAGAGAGGTGAAAAGCGTCTAATGCTCACCTCTCTCCTTTTGGGCAGCTCTGCACTTCACACTCAAAGTCTTTCAAAGAATATGGTAGACTGGAGTCTCCTTCCATTGGGGAATTTACGGATATCACCCCTATAACTCAAGGGCCCCCCAAAGGACTTATATTAAGTACGGTATAGCCAGGGAGTTCATTTGTCAAGCAAACATGAATGTTTTCATCATTATCGCCTTTTCTTTTGCTTTGCCTTCTGGCAGATGCTTTGCTACTTCTTTAGCTATCTCATAACTTGTCTAGGAATGAGCATATTAAGCAGCTTCAGTTAGCGTGTGGACTTTTCATGACTTAGCGCTGGGTTCAATTCAGTTAGACTGTGGGAGCAAGTACTTGCCGTTGACTTTATGTTCCTTCAGTGGTTTAGATGCCTCAGAGCCTGACTCTTGTGCAGTCTTGAGCATCTCTGTCACTGATTATAGTAACATAGTAATATAGTGAAGCCTCATTATGACAAGCCTGTTTGGAGCCTTTGGGCCACACTGGTTTTATATCAAATTTCACTCTGCAATGGGTTTTACTAATGAGACTGCCATATATGAATTGGAGGGCTTATAAAATACAGAACATGTCTATCCTTTTCTAACAAAGAAAAGTTTCTTCCTCTCTGCCCAGTCCCTCTCTCTCTCTCTCCCTTTCTCTCCTCTTCCTTTCCCTTGAAAACAGAGTCTGTGGGGAAAAGGCAGATATAGCTTTCTTAAGTGTAGAGTGCTTGGATTTCAGCATCATCTTTTTATATGTGATTTTATATACATTAATCTTAAAAAACTCTTTTTGTGGAAAGAAAGGATTAGTGAAAATGTTTTATTGTCCAATAAAACAGACCATTTCCCCCAACATTTTGTTTTTAGACAATTATGCTGGCATTATCAGAACAATTTCATAAAATAACTTCCCATAGACAATGGGATATAAGCTATAATAACTCCTTAGATACCCAGTAGCTTCTGACCCTAATTAAAACTATATAATTGAAATTGTATAACATAGTAAAACCCAAAGCACAAAAATATATATGAAACCTTAGCGGCTCTCCCCGCATATGAACCACAAAACATTACAATACATAATTATGGTTTTAATGATGGTTTTATTTATCCCAATTCATCCCTCTGTTAACATTTACTAAATGCTCACCTAGGACTAACCACTTTGAGAGATTACCCAGAAACCAAGATGCCCTCCCTGGTCTCCAGCAGGTTCTAACCAAATGTGGCTCCTCCTTTAGACCAGAGGGATCGGCATTTGCATTGGGTTGTGCCCTGGACCAAGAACAAGCCAGGCGTGTCTGTGAGCCACAACTTAAAACTCTCCAGAGCACAGACAGTGGAGTCCACTCTTTTTCCTCTAAAAGAATCCCACATTATGGGTCATTGTGATCACAGATCTAAGGTAAAATATTTCAGATCAATAATTTAATGGAATTGCCCCTCACAAATCTACACAGAAAGGGTACATTGCAGGGATGTGGGTAGTCTGGCTTATTCTTTTCCTCTTAATGGAAGACAGGCCCACTTTATTCCAAGAATGGGATATAGCACATAAACTCTTGTTCCCATCCATGAATACCCCAACACCTCCTGAAGGGCACCCTCCCACAAGCATCCACAGCGTTTGAACAGTATAAATAGAGGTCAACTAGAATTCCTCCTCTATTCTACTGCATAGCATTTGACATGAAGGACCAAGTACAAGGGATATAGTTCTATAAGCAGCAAACAACTTCTTTATCAGGTCATCATACCTCTTAAGTCTTTTCCAGGTTACCAACTCCAAGGTCAACTTTAAAAATGGAAATGGACCTGCGGAATATCATAGAGCCTCTCATTTAAATCCGCGCTGAAGGTTAAAATAGTCCTAGATTGAGAAACGATAAAGTAGCAATAACAGGAAAATGTAATGACATTTAAATTTTTAAGGTTGAAATTTGATTTCTGCTGCTATTTTGAAAATACCTATTTAGTTTTGATTGAACCCAATTTAGTCCTTTAAAAGAAAAAGAAAAAAAAATCTTTAAAGTTGCAAATGTTTTACAAATTTGAAATTTATATAGTTGTATTCATTTAAAAGCAAAGGAGCTCTGATTCTTTGAAACTCTTTCATTTCTTCTAGCCAGGAGGGCAATAACAAAAGGGAGAAGACAGGTGTCTTTACTAACTGCAGGGCAAATGGTGAATAGGGCTTAGGTGTTCAATCAGTCCTAAGGCCATGGCTTAGAAATGTGTAATTTGGCACAGCACTAGAAGTACGACTATTATCTGGCAAGCACATACAGACACATGTGCATATAAAAACAACCAAAGATGTCATTTCTAGAAAATGACGACCCTAAATATAGTTTTAACTGAAATGGTCCATATGGAGATTTTCAAGAAGGTCAACAGAATGGTCATTTGTGTAAACATACTATTTATTGTGGGATTTTCTTGGACATTAGTTTCAAGGTTACTATGTTTCCTTAAGATTTTTCTTCGACTTGATTCCAGTGTTGCGTGGTAATGACAAGAATTTTCAGAAAATACCATCCATAGCTTCAAAGTTTCCCTCACTGTCTATTTCTCCTTTGGTGTTAAAAATGGAAGATCAAGATTTGGGTAGTTATTTTGCTTTTAATAAGAGATTCTAAAATAGAAGTGTGCAGCATTTTCCTACATTTTCACCAGGAGGATTATACAGAAACTTCTTAGATAAAAGAAAGCTGGTTCTCTCTTGAACTAAAGTTGATACAACAAACTACACTAATGTGAGCCTCTCTCAAATTTAATTGTACTGGGAAAACCAATCAGAATATTGAATTGGCAGCCTTTAAACAGTTTTGCTCTCTTCCCTCTCTTTCAAGTACATTTGTTAGCTTTTGCTGGTATCTGTGTGTATTTTTTTTTTCAGTATTGTGTTTTACTTAAGAGCAACAACCAGAAGAAGAAAGCAAAATGCTGCTATAGCAATGACATCTCCTACTTTCCTTCCTTCCCTCCTCTCCCTTCCTTTCTTCCTTCCTTGGTTCCTTTCTGGCACAGACTAGGGTTTTTTCTTCCTCTGATATTTGTCTATCATTCTTCCAGTAGTGCTTCCCTTTTAGTTTGGAAACCATTGCCATTTTCACTACGTAATTAACATTTTCTTTCATCTGAAAGCTAGTAAGTGAGCCCAGCATTTGTGCAGTGTCCCTTCTTTATAAAATGTTAAGGCTTTTGGCTGATGGAAAGAACTCCCTTCAAAAGATCAAAAGCATCATACTGAATAATGTAATGACAATCTGTGCTTTGATTTTTCTCTCAGTGAAGGTTCAACGCTGACATTTAAGACACACACACAAAAATCCTTTTAAGGGTTTAATTGAGCAAAAGTAAAAGGCCAGAGATCACATATATGAAGTTGTTTTGCATGATTGAATACTTTGCAATGAAATAAATGGCAAAACAAAAAAACTGTTAAAATGTTAACAGCTTTGAAGTGTTTCAAATTGTAATTATCAAATGCACAATGTTCCGTTCACTATTAGCCAGATGTTGCCTACCCAAATTTCATGATTCCTTGAATACTCTAAGTGAATCTCTACTACAGATATTTATTTTTCTGACGTTTGGATCATCCCTTCACATAAGAATTGTCAGTATTGCGCCTTAGAAAATAAGAAAGAAAAGAGAGAAATGTGAGTTTTTAAGAACTAACATTAATAATAAAAAGCATTGTAATATAAACCACTTAAAATATAGAAAAGCAATTACTGGTAAGAATAAAAGATAATTTCTGTAAGGGCCCAAATGAAGCACATTACAAAAAGAAGTACAAAGCTGAGTCTCTTTCTGTGGTTCCAGGAATTCAAGTTTTTGGCAAGGTATTTTTAAAGCCCATTTGTCTCCGAAAGAAAACTTCAGCCTGGACAAGGAGTTGTGTGTTTGATAATTGTATTAAGTGCCTACTTCCTTCCCCAAAGTCCTCCAAAAACTCAATAAATTTATATTTATGTAGCCACTGAGTGACATATCTGTGTGTAATGGAATTTTTTGCAAAGCTTAATGGCCTTTGTGATTTTCCCATGGGAATTCTTCAAAAACAAACAGGGTCTAGTTGTTGTTGTTATTGTTTATTTACTGGGGTACTTCATGTTTGCTGGATAGTGAAGCTTATCCCTGGGAAACCAACTATGCCAATAATTTGGAGCCATTCAGTCTTCTATCCACGTCTAAAATAATTCCTGCTGCCACTTGTGTTGCATAACTACCACTGTTTTCCTTCAAAATATATCACATGTTTAATATAAATAAAGCTCATATAAATATAAATCTGTTAACACGGTCAAGTTATTGCGGTTCATTCTTCAACTTTATTTAGGCTGAAATCCAAGAATTCGTGTAGTCTGCAATGAGTGTCCCTTAACTTTCATTCCGGGTCTCAAGCCTATGCTCCTGAATGGGACCTGTGCTCCCAGCACTTCTCTGATGCTTGTGGCAAAGTATTTCGGCTCCTTACCAGGATCAATCCACAGGATCTTAGCATTTACTCACCAGGTGTAGCAGGTCCTGACACAGCCAGAGGCCTGTCAGTGGCAATGTATGCTTAAAGGAAACCACATATTTAGGCAAGTAACTCTGTCCCAGGAGCAGGGTGTCTAGATCCTACTACAGGTATGAAACCCTACCCAGCTGCACTAATGAGGATGAATCAACTAATAATGGATGAATCCATTGCTGGGGAGCTGCCCTGACAAGGTAGACCAGTCGCCTTTATGTAAATTTCACTCAAATCAGTAATTATTTGATTTATTATATGGTCAGATTTTTAATAGGTGGCCAGGACAGCCTCTTAGAGCTGTTGAAGGATAATCCCAAGAAAAGGGCCAGATACACAAGAGAAGTTAGAGTGGGGAACTGGGGGAGGAAATGGCCGTGTTATAGCAGAAAAGCTGTCATCAGCTACAGAAATGAGGGGCTCGATCCATCTTCACTAGAAAAGAAAAGAAAAGAAAAGAAAAGAAAAGAAAAGAAAAGAAAAGAAAAGAAAAGAGCCTGTGTGCTAGGAAATTTCCAAGCTGCTAGGAAGAAAACCTGGCTTTCAGGAAGTTAGGAAAGGGGACGGAGGAAGGGAAGATTCCTGATGCAGCCACACCTGGGTATTGACTGGGAGATAAGATCTCCCTGCCATAAAGTCACAATCACCCCAGAGGCACCCAATTTAAGGGAAAAGTCCCCAAACCAGAATGAGTGAAGGTAGACCTGACTGGGGGCGGCGGGATGATCAGAAGCAGAGTTGGGCCAATCTGAACCCACACGGTACTGATTACCAGTCCCAAGCCCCCACCCAGCAGCCATGACAGGACACTGCTGCAGAGGAAGATCAATAGCAATTTTTGAAACTCCTGCTCCCTACAGACTGCAAAGCATTTCAAGACGCTAAGATCTCGTCCTGGAAATTTAAATGTGACTAATTGCAAAGTGGTTAAAAGTGGTAGAGAAGGCGGTCAGGCAGAGTAAGATTATATCCAAAGGAAGATGAGGCAGGTCAGAGAGGATACAGAGTACTCAACAGGGGAAGAACATTTGGAGAAGGGCGTATGCAAAAAGAGGTACAAATATTTTCCTAAGATTTCCTCAGAGTTGAAACTATTCAAAAGACAATGAGTCCACAACACATAGGCTGCGTGACAACATACAGTGGCTGTGGCCGGACACGTTTCTGCCCCTTTTGATAAGGACAGAAGCCCCATTCCCTTGCCC